TCTGTGCTCTACATCCTTCTGTGCGGATACAATTAAATGTTACTTTGAGACAGGAAACTGTGCAGTTAAAACGGAAAGCCTGCGATTTAAATCCATTTAGTTTGAAGCGAAAAAAAAGATTAACAACGGCCTCCATTAACGGGGTTTAAAAGAATATTTAAACTTTTAACTTGTAGATGAATATTAAATAGTGATGGTGTATTTTATAAAATCATGGGAAACATGTGAAGTTTGATATATGTATATAGTTGTGAAAACTGATTGGTCGATAATCTCTTAGTATTAGAAACGAAACCTCTCATCATTCAATGTATTCACGGTGCGTGTGTCTGGTCCATCGTTGTAGTGAGAGGAGCTTCAACAGTGACTGGGACTTGTGACCCAGGTGTAGGTTTAATATATATAGAGAGACGAAACCTCTCATCATTCAATGTATTCACGGTGCGTGTGTCTGGTCCATCGTTGTAGTGAGAGGAGCTTCAACAGTGACTGGGACTTGTGACCCAGGTGTAGGTTTAATATATATAGAGAGACGAAACCTCTCATCATTCAATGTATTCACGGTGCGTGTGTCTGGTCCATCGTTGTAGTGAGAGGAGCTTCAACAGTGACTGGGACTTGTGACCCAGGTGTAGGTTTAATATATATAGAGAGACGAAACCTCTCATCATTCAATGTATTCACGGTGCGTGTGTCTGGTCCATCGTTGTAGTGAGAGGAGCTTCAACAGTGACTGGGACTTGTGACCCAGGTGTAGGTTTAATATATATAGAGAGACGAAACCTCTCATCATTCAATGTATTCACGGTGCGTGTGTCTGGTCCATCGTTGTAGTGAGAGGAGCTTCAACAGTGACTGGGACTTGTGACCCGGGTATAGGTATTTAACGAGACAATAGATTAAACATTAAATTTATTCAGGACCTTTTTATCGATAAGCGCTATGTCAGTATTATCTTTAAAGATTACTTCAGTGTGGAAATTTCTCATTTCTTTTTCGTCGTGATTATCTTTTTTCTTTAAATTTCTTTCGTGAGATAAAATTGCGTTCATCTTGATTGATCCATCTTTAATCTTGAAGTTGGTGAAACGGTAATTGTGGGGTTTTAAAATACGTTGTTGACTTTCTCTAAATAGTTATGTCTGTTTGTCCCACAAAGTTATATAATTATAACCTGGCCTATATGTTTATATACACATATTTGGTGGAGAGATAATTGCTCTTGTCAAGAAATATTTGTAGAATTCCACTAACCTACTTGTTGCAAGCCTTATCCTATGAATCATCTCTGTCATAAAAAATCATTATATTTTTTATCTTTTTCTCTCATTCACCAATACTTAGTAAACTATTTGTCAAATCGTCTATAGGTCATCTATATAGAAAACATTGATTTCAATCCGAATTTATTGTGTTTACGGAACACTCGAACTAATGAAGAACCAATCTATATCAAATTACTCACATTTCTCTTATAATAAATGATTAAACATTTTCGCTATGTCAAGGTGGAAATGTCGACGTCATCATCCCCCCTTTTCTCCACCCCCTACTTTCCTCACCCTTAAGCATCGACTCCACTTAAAGTAATAGGAAAACAATGGGATAATAACATTTAAGTTGTCTCCATATAAATTTATATGAATCCTGATACATTACGTTAGACTGATGCATTATAATCTTTCTTCTTTAACAACTCTGGTTTCCGTTAATTTAAATTTTGTATGTCACGTGAGTCACTATTTTTTGAACGAATTTAATATGTCATTAGATCGCCCGTAATACTGGACATACATAAATAACTACAGTGTATTTTTTATTTGTAATATCACAATATCCGATAAATATAACCGGTTTTAATTTATTTAATTAACTAATATTATATTTTAATTAATCTAACGGTACTTTTGTATCAATTAAGGATATGTTTTTGTTTAAAATTGATATCATATATTCATATGTGAATTATATGGAAGCTTTAATTGGAAATGATTTAAACTTTTTCTTTTGTTTTATGTGAGTTCGGTTATGTCGCGTTTCCAAGAGAACCTTTCAAAAGTCTGGGATAAAAACTATCCTATGTTCTTTCTCAAGGTCAACTCTATGTCTGTACCAAATTTCATTAAAATCAGTTCAGTGGTTTAGGCGTGAAAGCGTAACAGACAGACAGACATACTTTCGCATTTATAATATTAGTAGGGATTCGTGGAAGAATTTTTTCCATCAACAATTCCTTAGTGTCTGAGTAATATGAAAGTGTTCGTAGCCACTTAATATGAGAACATTCGCTAAACTCGATCCGTAATTTAACTAAAGCCGGTGTATAGTACGGGGTCTGTGTGAGTGAGATGCACGTAACGACAGAGACGGACATACATACGGTAGGTAGGTCGACCGGCTGTGAGTCATGCTTCGTGAGGTTTTTGCCTTTTTATTGTTTCTGGTTTTCTATAGTACATACATACATACATACGATATCTGAACAGACTCGATTATAAAGTCTATGGCGTAAATAAATTCTTTATTATATATACATATATGTGTATGTATATACGTCGTCATCTTCAGCCGTGAAGTGTAACTAAATTATAAATCAAATTACATTCTTTTGATATAAACGTGTATATATATATGTATGTATATATGTATGTCGGTCATATATTATATATCGTCTGGTCAGACACAATAGCCAGTGAAAGTCTATTCATAGCAGTCGGAACATAATTTCTTTTAACATATACATATTACATATAAAACTATTGAGATATATCTCATAGACTCATAGACTGAAGTCTTTCATATGATGAGATTTCTACATCAATTAGCCCAACTTTCACTATTTTTTAATATAATTTAATCTTGCAATATGTCTTTGAATCTGCGGTATAAATGCTTGTATATAAAATATTATATTAGTCGTGTTTTGATTGCTATAATTTATATAACTTTCTGTTCTTGATTTATATATATTATTAGTTATGGATATTGATGTATTAAAAATAATTTTTATTATATATAAATTATATTTTCTATATGTTTTACTCTGAAGTGATTTAATTTTCATTTAATTTAGATATATATGATTTTATTTTATGTTACATATTATGTATATTATATTTGGAGCGATATAAGATTTCATTATTTTATCGAAGCGATGTCGGCTCGTTCATTACGCTCTATAAAAAGTTTGGAGAGCGGAACAGGTTTTTGGGGTTTATTAACAAAATAACAAAAAATATATACATATTGCCAAGTAGACGATGATACAGATGAAAACTTATTATTAAAAAAATTAAGTATTTTATAATAAAGTGAAAAGATGGATCCAGTTTAACATGTTCGTGTAACATAATAAGGAATTATATTCAATAATAAAACAGTATACGTAACGAAAACCGAGTGCAAAAGCTAGTGTTACATTATATTAAGACGATAGTATTCTCGGGAAGGAAATTAGCTTTAATCTTTAGATGTAACGATCTCTTGATTTACTTACACAATGATAACATTGACACTACGTGATGTAGGGTTGACGGAAACGAGAACGTCACGATGTAATGGATTATATGTTATGAAGGACGTAACTATGTGTGTGACAGCCCTAATATAAAATGAATTTTAACCTTATTTAATGCACATTGTACACGTTTTTGCACCAACGAAGGTCGCGATCGAAGTATTGAACTGAATTAAGTAAATTCTTTTGTTTATAATATTTTAATTGCTATTATTATACGCTAGGCGCGTATTCTATTTATATTATGCACGTGATGCTGTATTTTGGTTGTTCTAAATATATATAACGTTTTCTAAGATGAATCAATGTACGGCGTTTCATTAATAGATACTGATTATTATATTTCATCTTATGTCATCTGTCGCGGGTCGTGGATGCTGTGAGTCATGATCAACATCTGTTACGTTCGGAGCCTCCGATCAAGGCGATTCGAGATAAAAAAACACTTTGTAATACAACCTGATTATATTTTATTCTCAAGTATAGGATACAATTGAAATTTTTAATGATGCAATTATTTATTAGGGGTTTTCTTTGAACATAGTTTAACTCTATTTTAACTGATGATTGATATTTATTTAATTATATCCTAAATTGTACAGAATTAGAGCGTTTTATTACTATATTTATATTTATTCGCAGTACGGTTTGTTTTCGGGTCCGTTATGTCATTCATCATCAATCAATATGTCATATGTCATCGTCCTGATGTGTTATGTGTCGCTTTGTGTCTTTGGGTTATGGTGTTCTATTCCAGGTGTATTCTGTTCAGCTTCATGTGCGGGTTTTTAATGGTTTTTCACCATATATTTTTTCTTAACTAACATGATCGTCTGTCTCTCTCTTTCCAGATGCCGTCGGCCGATCTCTCTTTCCCTCTCTCCATAGTTTCACTTCTGTGCTATGAGTCATAGTCTCGTATTTATCATTACTATTTGCTTGACACATGTCGAGCGAATATATTATTTGTATGCTGTTTGAGATATAATGATAATAATTTCCTTTATTTAAATCTGATATACATGACATATAGTATGTTTTAAATCCATATATATCTGCCATAGCAGTCTTATAGCCAGCTGCTTGATTGCTTCGTTAATTTTTCAATTCATATCGATTTCTGTCGAATGGACGTCAATAGAATTTTAGATTTGCCACACTGACGTCAAGGTTACAGCTGTTAGTTTATAGTTTAGTTTTCAGCGATAAGGTATATATGTAGTTTAAAATCCACCTGGAATTAGAAGATTGTCTTTCGAGAGATCTCGCCTAGATAGTAATTAGGGTTTTTTTTGTATCTGATATCTTTTGGGCTCTGGAAGTTTGGTAACGTATTTTGTTTTTTCAGAATATAAAATGTGATTTATCAAACAACAGATAATATAGTGTTCAGTGATAAGTGTATATCAATAAATGTGTAACAAGACCAGTGACTGAGGTCAATATTTAATAAGTGTTGGAATTATAATGAATAAGAACTAAAATGGAAAGGAAATTGGTACGCGAGGACTTTATGAGGAAGAGTTTTCGCGGGCCTAGGGTGTCTCCAGCACCGGAGGGCCAGGCTGCGACCGTCAACGGAGCCCCACCACCTTCGCCTGTCTCCTTAGCGATGTTGGAGAGAGCTCCGCGAACTCGTACAGAGTATGAAGTCACTTCAGCAGGGATAGCTCCTAAAAGACTAGAGATAAATAGAGCGCATCCCATACACTTGAAATCCTTTCAAACCGAACAAACCGATGATATAGGCCCAGTACCTCCATCGGATGATGTATTACGGAAACTGGAGCGTCAAATTGGTGAAATGGAACGAGGTTTAGAGCGAGCTCAGAACGGAGCAGTTGAAGTAGATGAACGAGTAAGATATGCAGAGCATGAGAATCTATTGAGAACTGGTGTGTCATCTGTAGGCGGTGGGGGGTATCTACCGGCTGATTCAGACACAGAACACGATGTGGTTCCCTTCAATAGAAACGAGACTACAAGAAGCAGTACGGGAGCAGCTGCACCAACACCAAGAACGACTACCAGGCTATCCAGAACTAACTCTGACACGCAACAGCATACTGTCGCAGCGACAGCAAGGCTCATGAGGAAACTGGCTGACGGTGGAACCAAGGATGATAAGACGAAGAATATAACAAGGAAAGCGATACAGGCACGAATGGAGAGGGTCAAGAACTCGGTGGTTGGAACCAAGCATGAGCATAGAGTCCTCGCCGAACATAGAGCAGAACCACCCAAAACGCCGACATCGCCAGTCACACCGCGGTCAACTGCACAGGTAAAATACTGTGAATGTCCTGTGACATGTGTTATGATGGTTCATACAGAATCTGATAGACAGACATCACTCACATATCATATCATAATATATATATTGTAACTAGCTTTCCGCCCGCAGCTTCGCCCGCGTGGAGTTTAATTATATCGCGTTTCCAAGAGAACCTTTCAATAGTCTGGGATAAAAACTATCCTATGTTTTTTCTCAAGGACAACTCTATGTCTGTACCAAATTTCATTAAAATCATTTCTGTACTTTAGGCGTGAAAGCGTAACAGACAGACAGAGTTACTTTCGCATTTATAATATTAGTAGGGATGTCTACCACGGTATGAATAAAAAATGCTCCTATAGGTCTAACATATCGACATAGAAGTCGATTTAGTAATTTGCGTGTATTTTTTATTACGTTAGTTTGTTTCATAAATGTTTTATAATTCGGAAAATAATTATAACTATAAGTATAGTTTCAATAAATAAGTAGATGGGAATGTATTATTTCAAACTATATAAGAGGTTACAAAGTATTGAAATTCTTCTATAGTTGGATGTTAAGTATGACCGGGCCTATATTATATCATAATTGATTACACGCGACGACATATGTTGTAACATACATACACACACCATATAAGTATATCAACGAGCGTTAGTCATAAGACAGATGAGTTTTTTCATCAAACACTACCAGTTTACACCTTATTCCGCTGTTATAAGTATTATATTCGTATGACAACATAATTAAGTGTATTTCGAAAGCGTCCAATGTTTTTATTATTGACATATTAATTAAGTGTGAATCCATTACTGATGTATCTTTGTTCTGAGTTACTTTTTATGAAATATATAATTATTTCTTTATTTATATACGTGATATATACATTATTATATGTTTTATGTTAATAATTATGATGTTTAATCATACATTTGAATGATTTTGCATATTTTTTATTAAATATATATTTTTTTCTGTTCACAGGTAATTACGATTTTTATTAATATTTAAATATTAATAAATATTTATTGACATTCTGAAGAAGACGAGGGTAAGTGAGTTGGTGTTAAGCAATGGAGATATTGTTTAAAGTTAAATTGAAAATATAACTTGGTATGTGTTTTTACTGTGAACTAGATAGTTTCTGTTTTACGTCAAAGTAACGTTTGACTGACGATCAACATTACGTATTCATTTTCGTGAATCCTCCGGGAATGTTTTCCGGGATAAGTTATTACAAACATTTAAATGATATATATGAAATTAAGTTTATTATATAATGCTCTGTATTAAATTGAAGTAAAATTACTGTTGCTTAAAAGGCTTACTCTCTCGCTATTAACCTAGATTTGTTTGAGAATTGTAAAACATTTTTTTTAAATATACAGGGTGACTGGTGAATTACTATCAATATTTAAGGAGCATACTCGGTACATGATTCTCATTCGAATTATGGTGTTCACACTATGCGTAATTAATTACATAACTTTTGGTTAACTTTACTTAGAAGTTTATTAATATTTATGTTATATTAATTTTTATTTTGTCATATATGACCGTCAAATATCACGTCCTCAAGTATCGATAGTAATTCACCAGTCACCCTGTGTATATATATATAATATAGTCTACTTTTTAATCATATTATTTGATATCAGTATTTACAAAATACTCTTCAGAATCTATAAACTTTTGTTTTTTATTCATAAAACATTTCCATGAAACTGGATTTCCTTTTACCTCACTTTCATATTTTCCGTGTAAACAGAGTTTTGATTCTTTTTGTACTTTTCACGTCCAAGAGATGTTTGGAATACGGAATAGGGCTTTGAATTTTGATGAAATATTATTCATATACCTACATATATATGTAATCTGAAACAGTGATTCATAATATTAGATCAAATATATTAACATATAAATGTATCTTAACATACTATATCTACATATATTTGGTATAAATCAATAAAATATAATATTTATTATAATCTTATTTATATCAAATTTGAAGTTAAAAAATATGGTTTTGTTTAAGTTCTTATAATATTATGTAAAGTGAGTGACGTAAAGAAGCCATACTGTGAAGCCTTGTAACACCTCGTATACCCAAATATAGGTTTAAAATACACGACGTAGACTGGCGGAGACGATTAAGTTAGCTGGAACAATTAAAAAAAATATATAGAAAACTAGAAGACCCGGCGAACTTCATATCGCTCTATAATCAAGAAATATCTATTACGTTTTTTATTTATATTTTTGGAGTTTACCTGTAAGCCATAAATCTCCGTGTTTTGAAGTGCGACAGAATGATTGACATATTAGTTAGTTGTCAAATCTAATGTCAAAAAAAACGTTTGTATGGGAAATGGAAATGGGCTGTTTTTAGGGTTTTCCCGGAAATGAATCATTTTTTCTCACCTTTTATACCTTCCCTGAACCTCCACGAACATTTCAAGACTAAGATAAGATAAATCCGTTCAGCCGTACTCGAGTTTTAGTGAGACTTAAGAACAGCAATTCATTTTTATTTATATAGATATAATTGAATCTTACTGAGTACAGAGAAAATGTCGTTATTCTTTAAGTATATAATATATTTCTTATATACTCTTTCATATATTTTATATGTTTACAAATTTCTTGGTTGGTAGATGCCTGTCAAACATTTTCCCTATTTTAATCTGAGTAACGTCACTCCGTTTCCGGAATTCAGTATCTGAATGAAAAGTATTAAATGAAAGTATGATAAAATTCGCAGAGCTATCACTGATAAGGGATACTGGCAGTGATAACAGGATTTTTGTTGAAATATTTTTGAGAAAAACCTACATACATATAGGAAAGTTTGTAGAAACGTGGTTTTTTTATGGTTTAGTAGTTGTGTGTATTAATTGTTGTTCATTTAGTTGAAAATATTCAATCAATGATTTGAATTCAAAGTATCTAACAACAGAGCGTTTGAAACATTTGTGAATTGAAATTTGAACTACCGGAATGTTCAGTCGATACTGATCTAATATTACGAACAAAACAAAATATATTTTGATCAAGAATATCGGAAATCAATAGAAAAGGAATATTTTTATTGAACAAATCAATTGTAATATAATTACTATTATTACCTCGTCATCTTATACAGTAAGCAACAAACAAGTCTAGGAACAAAACATGGATGTTATTGTACCGAGCAACCCTCAAGCCAGCTTGGAGATTACGTAACAAGGGTGAATTCAATCACCTCCACGATGCAACTACATACACAGACGAACAGAAAAATACCTTAAATAATATACAGTTAGAGTCGAAATTCGTACAATAGTTTCATTTCATAAGACGTTTACGATTCTACCCTAAAAAAAAATAGGGCGTCGGTTACATGCTTTAATATTGGAGCAGTTTGAATTCGGACACCGCTGTGTACGGACGTGTAATGAGTGATTTTTTAATATGTAGTGTGTAGTGTGTGGCAATGGCCAGAAAAAGGGTAATTGGTTGGCTGGGAACTAAGGTGACGGGGTTTTTTTTGTTTTGTTTAATATATATACATATATATTTGTATCCTTAGTGGCGTTTGTAACTCATATGTATGTATTATACAGCTAGTATATAGTATTGCAAGTTAGAAGTATCGATATTTATGTAGTGTCCGCTCTACGAATAGTTTTATTGAAATAAAATCAATTTCTGTGTGATTTAAAAGAAAGCTATAGAAACTGCTGATTGTTAAAATGTATATTTGTTGAAAATAATGTCGTTTAATTTGATTTTTTTTTCAATTTGTACGATTTATTTGTAATACATAGAAGTCACGAGAGCTCTCTAGAATGATTATTCTTGTGGTTTGAGTGTTGGAATAGTGCTTTCCGTCTTTTGTCCTATTACTAAGAATAGTAAAAATTCAATATATAGGTATATTTTATTTAAATAAAGCAACCCATATAATTATAATAATAAATTTATTTAATAAACGAGATAATTATTTTTATAGATTTTTATTTCTATTACATAACCATCATTCTCAGTGTGAAAGAAAAATTGTTCAAAAATGATGTCACCGTGGTAACTAAAAGCATAGAACGATTTTTCATTAATTTGCATATTATAAAGCTCAGGTCCGCATAGCATTTAAATTTAAATTAGCTCTTAATGTATAGCAAACAGGGTTGGTTATTGTACGGAATAGAGTTTTATATATATAAAAGTATGTATGTACGTATTGTGCAGTATTGATCGACCTTGCATTTAATACTTACTTATGTTTCCATTCTATTATACTATATATATTTTATTTTTATTTCTATTCCCTTAGCCATGATTATAAATTATTTTTAGATGTACTGTTTTTCATATTATTCTGTTTCATTCGTCGTCTGTTTGTTTAGCTTCACCGTTTCTTATATATACAAGATCTGTTTTGTATGTATGTATGTCCGTAGTGTTATTTATAACCGGGATGTTGGTATATATCTGTAACATAAATACTATGTTTAATTATTAACAGACGGACTTGTAATATAAATATACTAGCTTTCCGCCCTCAGCTTCGCCCGCGTGGTGTTCGGTTATATCGCGTTACCAAGAGAACCTTTCAAAAGTCTGGGATAAAATCTATCCTATGTTCTTTCTGAAGGTCAACTCTATCTCTGTACCAAATTTCATTAAAATCAGTTCAGTGTTTTAGGCGTGAAAGCGTAACGGACAGACAGACGGACAGTTACTTTCGCATTTATAATATTAGTAGGGATAATATTTTTTTGATTGAGCTGTATTTATATGCTTTTTTCGTTAATTTGTTAAGTTATATATATATATATATATATATATATATATATATATATATATATATATATATATATATATATATATATATATATATATATATATATATATGTGGGTATATTAAAAGCAGTGTTAAAGAAATGTTGAAACTATGTTGAGTGTATGTGAGTGACATATACAGTACAGTGTAAAAACGAAATGGGTGTCAAAGGAAGATATTTGGT